TGAGTTCGTATAGATTCAGAAATCATAATTCAGATTTGTATCAAATTCATCATTTGTCCAGATCATATACAGATAGAAATCATAAGTCATGATTAAGTTTACGTGATACATCCATTAGCATTAACAGAACAGAATAGAATAGAATGTATACACGTGAGGTTACGAATAACCAGTTTCATAAAGGAACCTACAGATTCGGGCAACATAACATAACAGAACAGAAGCTGAACCCTTGTGACAGGGCCTCCGGTACGGGTAACAAAGTGCAGACAGAAATAAGTTCCATAAAGGAACCTCTGATACCGGGTAATAGCTAACAGACATCACATGATGCTAAGAATGCCAGGAATACATATCAGAAATTGAACAATCATTCATTGTACAAAACATATCATTTCAGAAAATAGATCTTGTTTTATCACATAGAAAGTAGATACAGTTTGAACATAACTTTACTAAATTATTACTCACAGGTGACCTTGAAACAGACAGACGGAGCAGATTGATCACACGATACGTGGCACGTGACCTACATAACACATAACGGAGACACACTTGAAACACACATTCTAATTGCACAAAACTTACGTCGATGGTTCTTAGTGTGTTTCTAACATTAAATCCTCACTATAGAGTCTCAAACATGGCCTAGGAATGCCTAGGATGGAATGAGGATACAAAGATGTCTTGGAAAACATTTTTCAAAACTTGCTGAAAATAGGGGTCTCGCTCGAGCGTGGCTTTCTTCGCTCGAGCGAGCTTGTCAAAACAGAGGGGTTACTCGAGTGTAGACTCCTTTGCTCGAGCGGTCTGTAAAAATACAAAAGTACTGGTTGTTGAAATTTTACGCTCGATACCCGCTCGATGCTCGCTCGAGCGTGAGACACAGCCCTTCGTTCAAGCGTAGGTCTCGTCACTCGAGCGTGCGTCTGTGTGCACCAAAAACCTGAGAGCTTGCAATTTACACTCGAGCCACCATTCCTTCGCTCGAGTGGAGCTCTGAACAAACGATGGTCGCTCGAGCTTGGAATCCTTCGCTCGAGCGAGGAAGCCAAATTCTGGAATTTTCAGATTTGCCTCCCAAGCTCAAACCAAGTATTCAACACCTCAAAACTCGACCTCTTGGGCCCATTTTCTGGAAAACACTTGTAAACTCATAGTATAAGATGTTTCAAAGATCAATTTGTAAAATCAAAGCCCAAAGGTGAGTCAATTAAATACAATTTCAAATAAAATTTCAAGAACATAACTTAAATGTAACATGCATGAATTCTCATGACTTCTAATGCTCCAAAACATGATCCAAAGCAAGATTAAGCTCAAGAATAGGATGAATTCATGGACTATAACAAAAATGTGGACATGCATGTGGAAATTCATGAAGAACAACTCCAAAATCCAAGAATATGTGCATGCATGCATGATATCACTCTCAAATCCAACTCTTTAAACCAAATCTAGACGTAAACTCTAATCTTCCATGAACCATGCAAGAATTAATCTTAAATTCACAATTGAAAGGGAAATCTCCTACCTTAAACCTTGAATTCCAAGTCTAGGAGCTCAAATTTGCAAAGCCTTTTCAATTCTCCTAAGTTCCAAGCCAAATCTTGATGAACTCTATTTTCTCCTAACTCTCTCTTCTCTCTAGTCGGTTTTGGCTTAGGAAGATGGATGAAAATGATGTCAACACATAACATGGAGAGTAAACAATGGCCTAGGATTGTCCACTAAGTGGCAAAATGGTAGATAAGTCCAACTAATGTAATTTAACACTATTTATTCTAATTTAATCATACCAAATCAAATTCTAATTAAACATATCATAAAATCACATATATTCTTACTAGTATAAAACACTAATCAATTTCTGAATCGGTCGCTGATGAGGCTTTCAATTCGCAGTTTAAAGTCAAAACATAAACAGATCATTTTATGGCAAACAGATAGAAACACAAAGATAATGCAATACATATGCAATTTAATTCCGAATTCCTTCTAAATTACTGTTAGGCATAAATAATCATGGTTTAGCATTAATTAGAGGTCGGGGTTATTATAGTGGTACATCCAATAGCAATAATACAATAGGTCTTAAAGACCGAGCAATTAATTGATGGCCATCAAATAATAGACAATAGTTCCAAGAATTGGAACTGACAGAGATCTCTGTAACAATAGCAATAATAATATCAATAACAATAACAATAACAATAGCAATATGCTAAGGATGCCACGATTACAGTTCAGAAAATAGGATCATCATTCAATCGATAAAAAATATCATTTCAGAAAATAATATAATTTATCAATCAGAAAATAAATACGATCTAACATATCTTTACAACAGTATTACCCTCAGTGGGCTTCTCAAAACACGTGTGAATAATTAGGCGTTCGACCTAAAGAAATAAAATCAAGCACAACACAATTACAATTATACTTTTACAATTCCATTCAATTCGATTACTTGATTTCTATTCGGTTTCTCTCGTTCAATCTAACTTTCATTCTTTACTTTGTATAATTCAATCCCAAAATCCACAAAAACAAGCTTGAACTTTAATTTTCAATCATCAAATACAAACCATAAGTTTATAAGCAAATTCAATTGTTCAATTTATAACCGAAAATATTTAAAGCAATTATAAATCATAAAATGTATGTTCAAGCTTCAATTCAAGCTTTTAAATGAGAATTTCTTTAAAATTATGGGAGACCAAGTAAGAGACCATGTGTATGAAATTAATTTGTCCATGAGATGATCAAATTTCTTGGACTCAAGCATATTCAAGTATAAAATCACTAATATATATATATATATATACAAATTATGTTCTTTTCCACAACTTTTGAGATTTCCTTCTTAAAGTTCATAAACCATGCAAGAAAACAATTGTTTTGTTCATGGATTCTTGAAAACATGACATGCATGTAAGGATCATGCAACCTAATAGGTGTTTGCACTAAAATTATGCATGCATGTGAATATGTTACACCATCTCTTTCAATTTTCCACTTTTATGATCATATATGGATTCTCAACTTTATTTCTTCTCCAAGAACTCCTAATTACCCATATATCCTTTCTATTTGAACTTAGATGCTAAGGAATTAGGAGTGTGTCATTTCAATTTCATGAATTTGAGATGAAATGTACTTTAATTTGATGATTTGTTGACATATAGCTCAAGCTCATACTTTTCTTCTCCCTTCTTGAACTCAACTCTCAAGAACTCTCATCCTCTCTTTCTCTCTCTACGTGTGTGTCGTTTTAATGTTCACCAAAATCCATTACTTCCTTTTGTTTCCTATTAGATAGATGGATAGAATAACTCTAATTTAATAATAATTCATTTCCTAGGTTAAATTGTATTCAATTAACTCAAATTAAATTAATTTCATTATCTTATAATCTCAATTACACTATATTAAATTATACTAGTGTGAATTAAGCGCTAATTCCTATCCAATTATTTAATTTTAACTTGTTAAAATTAGCGAATCAAACAGGTTTAATTTTCATTCTAACCTATATGTTCAAACAATACAAGTCAATAATCTCATAACAATCAATAACCCTTAATTACATAATTAACATGTAGGAACATAATTAGTAGTTCCAATTAAGGCTCAATTCAATCACAGACAATTTCAGTAAACTGAATCAATTTTCAATTAAACTTTCCAAATGGCTCTAAAAATTCCCATGAGCCCATCCATGCACTCAATTTCAATTTGTGCACCCAATAAGATTGTCGATTTCAATTTCAAAGTTGTAACCTTAACAGGCAATTTTCTAATTTGGACATATATGTACAAATTAAATTACTAGGCACTTAGTTCAATTATAATTAACGCATAATTAATTAATTAAAATCATGATATCAAGTCTGGGTCGTCACAGGTAAGTACTCGGTACGTGTAAGACATGTTTTTCGAAGCACCTATGCTTCATATATTATTAGGGTATATCTGTCTTAATAGGTAATTTTTCAATTTGGACATATATGCACAAATTAAATTACTAGGCACTTAGTTCAATTAGAATTAAAACATAATTAATTAATTAAAATAAGATTAGCAAATCTGGATCGTCATCCTAAATCTTCACCTTTTGTATCCATTTTCCTGCCGAGAGAATCAAATCTCCATTCATTGTTTAGGAAACAAAAGAATTGCCAGAACACCATGGAATGTACTAATCAGCAACAAACTCATCACCCTTTTCGCTAATTTCTCTTCCAAAGTGCTGCCCTTGTGCTTCGAATACCCGATACGTATGCAAAAATAGCATAGGAGGTACTATATATACCGGTAAGTACTCGGTACATTTTTCAAAGCACTTATGCTTCATATATTATTAGGGTATATCTATCTTCCTATTTGAGAGTTTTTGTATCCCGAGAGTTTTTGTATCCCAGGACTTGATGATGATGATGTTATCTCTTATCATATAACCAGCAGCAGTCAAAGAGTTTTGTCACATCAATTTTTCAACATTAAATCTCAACCACACAATGCACCACTCTAGGAAACTTTAGGAAAAAAATACTCTAGAGGATCCTTGGTGGTTTTTGTATCCCGAGAGTTTTTGTATCCCAGGACTTGATGATGATGATGTTATCTCTTATCATATAACCAGCAGCAGTCAAAGAGTTTTGTTCCATCATCACAAAACACCAAATATAGCGAGCCGCCTTTGAATGTCCTAAATCTTCACCTTTTGTATCCATTTTCTTGCTGACAGAATCAAATCCCCATTGTTTAGGAAACAATAGAATTGCCAGAACACAATGGAATGTACTACTAATCAGCAACAAGCTCATCACCCTTTTCGCTAGTCCCACCTTTCACTCTGATAAAAAGGAATTACGGAAAGGGTACAAAATTTGCGTCATTTTAAATATTTTAGATACGACATTGAATCGGTGGTCCAAATACATTAATGCGGTGCTAACATGATGTCCTTATCATTTCCTTTGTTTTTGTTTTTCGTGTTTTGAAAAGTTCGAAAATCCTCAATTAATTGATAAAAATCTCATACAAGCATATGATGTGTAATGACAAATGCAACAGTCACCAAAGAATTAAAGAACACCACAAGAAAGCCACAAGTTTTCACAACAGATCAAACAAAATCTGATACAATCAATCAAATCTAGCTTAATCGGATCCTCCCACATCAACAAATTCAAGGATTCTTCATCTTGATCCTCAACTTCCTCGCTATCTGTACAGCTCTTGGATGCACTGGCCTCTTGCTAGAGTCACACTGTTCCACTTCCACCCAATTAATAACCTTCAATATGAGCGATTGTGGAACTTTCCGAGCATCTGCTTCAACTGTCCCTTTCGATTTCTTCAAACCGGTGTCCAAAGCTTTCTCAAGAAAATCCATAAACCAGTTTCCCACCTCAGTCTCAATCTGCTTTCCCAGCCTGATTGTACTACTTAGGCTGCAAGAAGAAGAACCCGGTTTCTTGTTTTCATCGTTCTCTGATGTAACTGCCTCAACCAACAGTTTTGATGATCTCAGGTGTTTCCCTAGAACTGTTTTCTGATCACTTCTTTCAGGGAAGGCCGCGATTGATTTGTATAGGGCATTTCGTCTTTTGGATGATGCATTTGATTCTGAGTAGCGGGGTTGTTGGTGATTCATCGAATTGTGGATGAGTTCATGTAAGATAGAGGGTTCTTCTTCTTCTTCTTTTTCTTCGGGTTTCTTGCATGCAGTTTCCTTGTGCTTTCTTGTGATTGGAGTTTGAGAAATTTCACTAGTTGCTGTTGCAGCTTGAATGGACACCATTTCAGCTACTGCATGCACAATTTGGTTGTGGAACTCCAAAAACTGATCGAAACAGGCTGCTGGAGAATTTGCTTTTGCAGATTTTGTTAAGTTTGAAAACATCCTACAAGAATTCATATTGATGATCAGTACACTTTAGTGCCATCTTTGGATCTTGCAAAATAAAAAGGGAAACAAAACAAATAAAATCAAGCTTCTTTTTCTTCAACCTTTCCCTTTTCTTTTCCTTAATCTTCCCCGCAAATCACTCCACAAATGCAAACATAGCATAGATAAAACCTCAGAAACAACAAAATCACTGAATGTTGTCTTATCTTTTCCATTTTCTTTTCCTTTCTCACCACAAAATTCCTCCACAATTCCATGATCCAAACATAGCAAAAATTAAAATTCAGTATTAAGGAAATTAAAAAGCTATAGAGAAATTTTGTACTTGAGAGACCGAACTAGGGTTTCAGTTGCTGAAGCATCTCTCAGTGCTTGAAGGGCAATCTTTTGTGCTGTTTCCCTCTGCTGCACAGCTTCCTATTTTTTCATAAACCATGAATTGATTTAATCAACACTGCTCAAATTATACCATGCAGTTCAAAGAAAAGAAAATTACACCAATTTACCTTGCCCAGAATGCTTAGTTTTCCGGGTAAATTCAGGGCCAGACTAGTGTTGTTGTCATTGGAGGGCAAACTAGCAGATTGGGACGACTCTGATTGTGAAGTCACCCTTGAGTTTGATGAATTCTGTGCATCTCCACCCATGTTGAGAGAAATTGCCACTCTTGCATTCCGCAAACTCGGTGGTGGAGTCGAGCTTTTCTTCTCCTGAAATGGAAATTTTGTTTTCTCAGGAAAATTTATCTTCCACACAAAACTCAACAGAAAATTGGTCATGTACGATGGCACAGGATGCTTTGTCCCAAACTTGCTATCTCCCCAATGCACTCCAAGTTGCACAATCATGTCTCGAGATTTTTATGTTTCGAGATTCTTGCTACCTTGTGCATTGGGAAAAGAAGGCAAGGATTTTGGGACAGAAGATCCCAGGCATTGTAAGGGGTCATGTAAGGCAGCACGAGATGTTCTATTCCAAAATCGCTATCCATCCCCAGTGTACACACTCCAAGTGCACGAGATGTTCTATTCCAAAATCGCTGTCTATCCCCAGTGCACACACTTGCGCGAGATGTTCTATTCTAAAATCGCTATCTATCCCCAGTGCACACACTCCAAGTGGCACCACCATGTCTTTCTATTTTCGTGTTTCGAGATTTCTACCACATCGTGCATTGGGAACAGGGGAAAACGATTTTGGCGCAGAAGATCCCTGGTCTTTTAAGGGTGTTTAACTAACTGTAAAAGAGAAAAATGTACCTACAGCTGTGTTGAAGGGACTTCTAGGGATCCTTGGCTCTCTTTCACAGACACTCTTGCTCCTCGGAAACTTTGACATTGATGGCGTGACGCAGCTTTTCCTAACCAAAGCAGGACTGTCTTTCTCTCCCTTTGAATCCACCATTTTAGACAGAAGTCCACCACCAGCCCTAACTCCGCTTGAGCTGCCATCCTTTCCGGATCTCCCTCTTATCATTGGAGACATCATCGCAAAATTACTCCCGATTCTAGGCCTCTCTTTTACCGGTGTACATTGCTCAAAATCCAAAGGACCAGACTTTAAAGGCAGGGGTGTTGAAACAGAGGACTCTGTTCCACTCTGCCCTGTTCCTGTTCCCCAAGAACCTCTTCTTGTCGCTGATGAGAGCCTTGAATTGCCCTTTTGCTCACTTTTCTCTCCCTTTTCTCTCAAACCCATCAATGGTTCTGGCGTGCCAACTAATGGGTGTCGTCCAGGAAGCGGTTTTGCGCCTTTTACAACAGGAACAGGGGATCCGGGCTCCAATCTGTCGACGTAGATGAACTGTCCAAGCTGCATTTTGTTACTGAGAACAAGATCATCTTGTTCAAATGGTAAGCTAACATAGATCGAATGCGATGAATCGGATACTTTAACGTAGAACCCATGTTTCGGCCATAGATTCTTCTCATCAAGATCGGCGGGGACAATGTCGGTCACCTGCACAAGCGAGCTCCGGTGCTCACTCGTGGGTTTGACCCCTGTATGCATTCCATTGAGAAGCTTCAGCAGAACTCCAGGGGCTAATGTTGCCATGGCCGGTTTTGAGTTAAACCCAGAAACAATTGAGTGATAATGACAGTATCAGAAAAGAAAAAATCCCTCAAATTGAGGTATGAAATCAAGAAATTCAATCAAGATTCGATGTGAAATGGGATAAAGTAAAAAGAAACCCAGAACAGTAAGAGCTTAAAAAGCTTATGAATTTCAACTCCAAACAACTACAATATCAAGAAAGATAAGTAAAGATTGGATCAAAGAGTCAAAGGGGTAAAATCTCAAGAGAAATTTGAATTCTTAGCAACTGTGTTCTACGAGATTGTCATGGTTAGAAGTGTGTGAGTGTGTGTGTGGTGAGAGAGAAGAGGAAGAGGAGGAGCTTCTGTTATGAGGTGATTGATAAACGGTAAGTTTTTAAAAGGTTTGGATTTTTGGAACGTTGTGCAACGGTCATATATTTTGCTGGTACGTCACGTCGTTATGATTTTTTTTGAATTTACGGAATGAATAATAATGCCGGTAGCTCTTGCTTTGCTCGTGGCCAATGAGCATTCTGCCTAGGCCCCGCATGAAAGCCATTGGCTACGTCGTCGTATTGATATTTTTTTGCACTTTTTTTCTTTAAAATTAAAAATACTGATTAGTGTGTTTGATTTGAATTTTTCGGATTAAGTTTTTTAGTTTTCGTATTCTTTTGTTTTTAGTGAATATTTTTAAAATCTTAAACCTTTTTTTTTTACTTTTTTAGATGCACCTTAGTTAGATGTATTTAAAAAGAAAAAAATTTGTGAAAAAATATTTAAAAAAATTAATAAATACATAAAAATACAAAAAATGTACCAAATTCTTGTATTTTTTTTTTATATTTTTGGTATTTAGTGAATTTTTAAAAGATTTTTTTTATAATTTTTTTACTTTTTAGGTGTATCTATGTTAGATGCGTCTAAAAAGTAAAAAAATTGCTTAAAATATTAAAAAAATTCAGTAAAAACAAAAAAACATGAAAAATAAGAATGTAGAATTTTCTGAAAAGTGTTTTCTGAAAAATGAAAACAAGCCAGCTGAATAAATTTAAAATTTTTAGTTTCATTTATTATATAGTCCATTATCTCATATATCTCATTTTTCTTGCAAGCTTAAAAAGTGTAAATTTTTTATTTTTTTAAAAAAATAAAAAAAATTCAATGTCAAGGAATTTGGTGTAATTTTTTTTTGGGAAAACTTAGTCTAACATTCCTCTTCAACTTTTAGTAATGAAAGAGATCCACAATATTTCTTTTTGTAGTCTAAGATTCCTAGATATTTGATCTGGGTGGGCACGACTTCAGTGTTTTTTGTCTCTTTCAAGTGATGGCTTGCATTAACCTTAGCACCTCTCACGATGACGCCAAAGACGACGAAGAGGCCCATCGCAAGAGACGAGCCTTCGAGAAGTCGAAGTGTCCATTCGTAGCTTCCAGAATCAACACGATTGTGACCTAGACTCGAGTTCTTAAGTCGAATTCGCAAGCACCGTGGATTTCAAATCTGATTTCTACATCTGATTGTATGCCATTTCGTTTGTCGTATGTTACTCTCTGTTTTTTCATATCACATTTGAAAAAATCTAGAAATCCCTAGATGTTGATTTGTGATTATGTATCAATTTTAAGCAGAATATAACAATCTCAATCAAACAATCAAGACAAAGAGACACAACGATTTTACGTGGAAAAAACCACAATTGGACACCTCCAACTGTGATAAAAAAAATCACGGGCAACAGCCACAAAACAATCCACTAAGAAGATTTAAAGGAATTACACAGGTATACTCTCAATTACCTAGCGAATCCACGCCTAATTGAACCAACCTCTATGTGCCTCTTCCAACCCGTCTTCACCTCGGAATTGTCTTTACGATGAGCCACCCCGGAATCCACCAAAGCTTCAGGCTCGAATTCTTCAGAATCCACCGAAGAACAACTCTCTCTTTTGTAGAACAAAACACAACCTTTGATGTACTCTCCTTAAACCATGAGTTGAATACTCAATAAAACATCAAAGAAAAACTCACAAAGTATCCCTAGATATAAACCCTAGAACCCAAAAAAGAAGATCTGGAGTAGTTATATATTAGTCTAGTTTTGGGAGAAAACCAACTACTTATAGAAAAACCAAAAGTAATCCTAGATTTGGAAGAAAACCCAATCCTTATTGAAATCCGGAAAACTGTGTTCGCGCGGTCCGCTCAAGCGCCCAACATCCCGCTCGAGCGTCTTCAGTAAAATCTGCGCGTGATATAACAGAGGTCCGCTCGAGCGCTAGAGAACCCGCTTGAGCGCGGAATCACACATCTCAGTACTTTTGCAGGCGACCAAGACTGCTGGAACCAGGGATTCTCCGCTTGAGCGCGGGTATGTCCGCTCGAGCGGACATGCAATTTTGAATGCATTTTTGCATTTTTGCATTTTGCACAGCTCGATCCCCGTCATAATCAGCGAAGTGGCAATCTTGAAAACATTAGCATCACAAACTTCTTTAAAAGGCACAATTCAGGTTGGATTCGCATCTAAACACTCATAGCCTCACTGAAATAAAAGTGCGAAAATAAATACAACTGAAAGGAGTTTTGTCAAACGGGGTTGCCAAGAATAAAACCTAACAACATTTCTCTACAATTAATTGGGTTTCTTTCATCCCTCTGTTTTTTCCCTATCCAAACTATAATCTTGATTTTTCTTGTTCTTGGCTTGTAAGGATTAGTTTTCTTTAAATTATGTTGTGGTTTTAATCTGGGTGTTGAGCTTCTTTACTAATTTAGTTTTTTGATTTTTGCATCTGATTCTTGATTTCATTCATTGAACCTGTTATGGATTGCTTATCTATTTCAGAAAAATTGATTTGTAGTTTATGAACTCTATAGATTTCTAGTTAAACAACAAATTAATTTGAAGGCATCTTTAGTAGAAAAACAAGCTACATGATGAAACGAAATGCACCCATATTTGTGATGAAGTTCTAGTTTGGCCAATGAAAATCATTGTGCTAAAATTTCTCTAGTTTGGTTAAAACAATTTTCTGCGGTTTAAAATTGTGAACAAACACAGAAAAATTTGTGAACAAAGTTAAAGAAATTTCAATTTTCTCTGGATTTCTCTGGTTTGAACCCAGAGAAATTCTCATTTCAGTGAATCTCTCTGTCTCTGTCTCTATCTCTCTGTCTCTCTCTCTCTCTCTATATATATATATATATATATATATGTATATTGGTTGTTGTTGTTGCTTGTTTGGGTGATCGATTTGTGTATTGCACATCAGTATTGGGAAGACAGAGAAATTTTGTGATTTGAACCCAAATAAATTCTCTGGAAATACAGAGAAAATCTCTAGATTGGAATCCAGAGAAATTCTCTGAATTGAATTTTCACTGGATCGATGTTGAGGGACCTTAGATATTATGAAAATATTAGATGTCTTTTATGCTATAAAATCTTAATATCAAGGACTCTAAACAAAAATCCCCTTCTTTTTATAGTTACAAGGCAAAAGTAATTTATAAAAGTTTTAAAAAATATATATTATTAAAAAGTCAAGGGAGGGATGCTTTATTTTACTTTAAATTATATAATTTTGAGTTTGCAAGAATTTCAGCAAACAATACTAATAACTACACAAACCTACAATGAAAAATACTTCAAATAAGAAATTGTTGGCTTTTTTTGGCTTTCGAGGGTTAATAGTGTAAATTTAAGCGTGCCAGCAATGATTAATTAGTCCTTACAGAATTTATAATTGCCAACCAATTATCAAGCGATTTATGTTGAAGTTCTTTCAGCCTCAATGAAGAGGACTTTTACTGGTGGCTTATTTAGGAGAAAATTATGAATAGTAACACGTAAATATAATTCAGAAATCAAATTTCATTAAACAAATGAAAATTTACAATGAAGTTATAATGACCTAGTTTCGACAAGGTTCACATCAACAAACTACTGAAAAACTACTCCTAGGAAATAAAGTGCAGTACAGGAATTGAAGTGCTGGAAATATAAAGAACTGGAAATGTAAAACCGGAAAGAAAATGAAGTAAATAAACTGGTTTCTAGATCTGAGTCTAGGTCCTTCATTCTGGGGCATTCCTTGCTATTTATACTTCGTAGTGGTAACCGTCGAAGTGGGCTTCCAACCGTCAAAATGTCCTCCCATGATTGCTGAACATGTTGTCTCACAGTCAGTTCCACTACGCCACTTTTGCAGTTAGGCTTCCCTCCTGATTTTGAATCTAAACTTATGAGTAACCGTTAGGCCACATCATTTTGTATCTCTCGACTATTCCAGTGCTACGCAGATCCATTATTATCAATATGAACTGCCACGTGTGCGACTTTGATTGGCAACTTGTATTAACTCCCAAATTGCCCTCCTTATGCCATGTGTTAAATTGTGATTGGCTTTTACAAATTATACAACCAACATTACCCCCCGCACTAATATATCCAATACTTGGTGATATTAGTGAACTAGTGCAATCTACCCACATTCTAGGATGCGCATGGACTCTGTATATTCTTGAGGTATAACCACTTTTTGAATAATGAAGCAGTGAACTTCATTAAATCCTTGTGCTTTGTACTTCCATTCTTTGAGTAGACGAAAAGACTGATATATCCCTAATGGCCAATCACACATTCTCTTATATTGATCGAGCATACGAGGAGTCTTTAGAAGATGATTGCAGGCCTCGAAAGAACCTTAATGCATTTGTTGGCTAAACCTATCCGCTTCAATTTATACAAGTCATGGAAGCTTTTGCAAATTACCAACCTTTAGACCAAAAATCTGCCAACTATAAACCTTTGGACCAAGCATTTGCAGAAATGGATCTTGGAAGCTCCTCTTTTGCCCCACCACTCTCCATATGGAACAAAGCCGCTTCTTCTTCCTCTAAGTCCACTAGTTGGGAAAGTTAGTCAAAAGCTGATGAATCCCAATTAAAGGAGCAGATTCATTATCGATTTGTTGAATTCGATGATCCTCTTTCTGTTCCTCCTTCTGCTCGGAGCTTAATGGTTTACCCTTATGTACCCATTGATCACAAACATAGCCTAAAGGACAACTTGCTTATGGCATGGTACACGTCTTCTATGCCAGCGAAGATAGTGTGAGAAACTCCTCATCCAGACGAAGCACAGGGATATAATTCGTCATTCTTGGCTAAGAAGGTAAAACTTTGCTCTTTTGACTGGCTCGAATGCGTGAATGACCCCAAGTTCCCCTCTTCTTTTGGGATGGATCCCTCTGTACCTCCTCCCTCTCAGAATCCTCATTGGATGGAAGAATTGAAACTTATTCTTTTCGAGAATCAGTTTTTTCCTTCCTACCAACCTCCAGCTCTTCCAACTACATTTG